CTTATTATTGGATGAGCAAATTACACGATATTTACTATTTCTTAATTATTTTTTTGTTCTTTTAATCTAGACAAGATCATTTTAGTTTAAAAAAAATATCATAATTAATGTTGTTACAAAATTTTAAAACAATTTAAAATATGATTTTACTTTGACCAAAATAATTGGCAGATAATTATAAAATCAACGTACATAAATTTTTTTTTAAATTAATATTTTTCAAAACTTGACAAAATATAAATAATCAAATAATATTTTTGATTAATTTTACATATGAAGTTTTTGGGAAAAAAATTAATTGAAGTTTCAAAAAATTAATATTTTATTTTCTAATTTTTCAACTTAAGTTATTTTGTTTCTGATGAGGCTTACGCCTCAAAACGTTTTGAGGCTTACGCCTCGCCTCGTGACAAAAAAACGCCTCAGTACCCGTTTACGTTTTTTCAAACCATGATACCAACAAGGTGCACCTTCTTTTCCGGAAGTCCATCGTTAGAAACTCTACAGTTAACCTATCAAAAAAAAGAAACTCTACAGTTAAGCGTGCTTGGCTTGGAGCAATTCTATGATGGGTGACCCCCTGGGAAGTTATCTCGGGGAGCGTGCGAGTGAGGACAAAAGTATGCTGAAAAGACCCTTGTTGGTACAGTGGGGACAGTACATCGTCGATCTAACGGCCGGGACAACCCGTTAAGTGGGACTCGGGTCGTTATAGAAAACGTGTCTGGGTAGTCAATACCTTACATTTGAGTGAACCCTTTTGCAAGCAATATGGACTTGGAGCGATCAACTAAGCCATCGGCTTGTACTTGACTTTGAAGACCCATTTACACCACTGGGGCCTTCCCCTTAGGTAGCTTGGCTTGTTCCCACCTTCTGTTTTTCTTCGGTGCCCTCATTTCCTCTAAGACAGCCTTCTTCAATTCATGAACAGTCCTGTACATTCTTTGTGATTTCTACACTGGAAATGTTAGAGACAAAGGAAAGGTGAGAGTTTATGTAAAGACAGATAATCAGCAATGGAATGATGAGTTTTATTTCCTAAGGGCAATAGGTAAATGTAAATCATCAAAGGAATTCAATTGGATGGGTAAATCTAAATCATTACCAGGGATTTCAGAAGGTGCTCCGTTTTGGCTCTTGTTCAGATGACGACAGCCATTAAATTTGATTCATATGAGCATCTGGCTTTGATCTTTGGAGATTGAATGATTCTTCCGCAGTCTAGTGTTTTATAAAGAACCTTAGTTAGCGTCTTCAAAATTTTAGCTGGACAGAGAAACAGATTTCAAAACATGATGAAGAATCATGAAATCATGTCTGTAATAGTGGATATCTCATAAACCATTCACAAGAATTGAGCCAGCCTTTCCCATCATTTTCTTCTAATTGAGCTTGACACGTTACTTCAATTTCAACAAAAATGCTGTACATGGCTTGTTTACTGTTAATTGATGTTAATGTTGGTTTTCTTATGGATTTTGAAAATTTTAACTTCTGTTAAAATGCAGTGTATTCAGGATCATGGTAATGATATCTGCAAACGGAACAATTTGGAGTGGTTGCCAGTGAAATTTCTTATCCTCATGTCCAGCTTGGTTCAAGAACTTCAAGTAATCAAAGACAGGACTGCCGGCTATCGTTTGACAAGAAGAATGAAGACAGAGACAGAGATCCCTAGGATGGTAGATTCTCCAAGTTTTGTGAAAGAAACTATTTTTGAGAAGTTCACCAAACTACTTTTCTCATTACTGGTATGTAACAAGCCTGCGTAAGCATGTGGTTCTAGCAACTCTGACAACAACTTCCTATATATTGTTCTAACTGTTCTTTGAATGGAAAATGGTCTACATGCAGGCAGAACTGTTCTTATATACCAAATCATCATGTTCCATATTCTGGTCTACTGTGGTGGAAGAGGATGGGATTCTTCCAGCTTCCATCACAGGTAGGTTAGGGGGTCCAAGTCGGCGGAGGTTGTCATCTTCTGTCGGTACTTCTGTTTTGCAAGCTGTATGATCCGCTACATAACTATTAGTGTTTTTGTTCACTGGTTCTATTGATTATGAGCGAAACTCCTAATTTCCTCCTTGTTATGATCTATATGGCTTGTTGCGTTTTATTTCTCTTCCAAATAATAGAACTGTCAAAGAAGGGAAAGGTCTTTTACTAATTCCAACTAGTTCGATGATCTATGGATTTGTTGGCTTCATTGCATTTGGTGCATATTTCTAAATTAATGGCCACGCCTACATGTAATTTATAATATATACTTATGTCTTTGTTCTAAATATCCTAACCTCCAAGTTGATGGCTAGGGGTATTTATTGTTATTTACTTGCAGTGCTGAACATTAATAAATGACTTTCATGGGCGTTAGTTATTTCTTTGATTTGAGATTATAAGAGTATGCCATGCTACCTCTTGCCCTTTAATCAAAGCCATCCTGTACCTTAGGCCGCAAGGTGGACTAGAAATATCACCCATTCCTGCAATATTCTAGCATCTCTTTTCATCCAAATCATTGAGTGGTAGCTTGAATTGCACATCACAATCCAATTTTATCCCTTCCGAGTGACCTAAACTTAAAAGAAAAAGGACTCAGGAAATACAAATATCTTCCATGAAAGTGCAAGCGATCTGCTTAATAACATGAACTCAATACAAAGAAGTATTGTCTGATTCGTAATAGTCCCAAGAGATCCCAGCCTATTTATAGATAATTTTAAATGAAGATGGTAATCTACTCCTATAATTACTGATAATCTGCTCCTTCAATAAAGGCTAATTGATTCTCTGTCTAATCATAAATCTGATCCACTGTCTATTCGTACGATTGTGCTCCTATAGTTCAGGCTAATATGATCCTACTTAGTTGTACAATATTTAAATTACACCTCTGTTTAACATTACAAAAAATGTTGATTCTTTCAAAATAACACCCTTGCACTGATGGTATTTATAAAGGGGTCATCTCACGTCTCTTCATGTTGCTTACAATACAGGTGTCAATCATGAAGAAATATCCATACATGCAGTACTCTTGTTTTGATTTTATTTCCTATAACTCAGTTAAATGCTGTTATTTCATATGCCTGGTTATTTAATGATCATCTTCATGTTTGATCACATTTGGACAAGCAGGTAACATCTCTGAAGACTCTTGCATCTGTCTTGAGGTGGTGTGTGCAGAATGGAAGAGATGATGCTTCACTCAATTTTTCTCTTACCTTCCTTTGGAATTTCTGTTGGAAAGTTATTACATCTTCAACTTGTAAATCAGAGGCATGTTCGAATATTAGCTGCCTAAAACTGAAATTGATGTTCATATTCTGAAGTTCTTAATAACTCTTAGCCAATGTTGGCTCATGTTTATAAACACTCAAGCCACTTTGTATCCACACATTTTAAGGGATATCCGCCACTCATTTCTATCTATCTATAATTTAAACCGTTTATAAATACCTTCCAGACATGCTTTTAGATTGTTTTCATTTTATATAACTTGATAATTTCATTGATTGGTTCAAATTGTCTAAACCAGACTGAAGATGAAATATCCATGGCGGCATATGAAGCAATAGCCTACATTTTGAAGGATTTGGCATCTGTGTTTTCACTATCTTTGGATCTCCTAATGAAGACTGGTAGCTCATCTCCATCAGATGCTGATAGGGAACCGATATTAGATATCTTTCTTAGTACTTTTATCGGGAATATCAATAATCTTGTTGCTGGGGGTAATTTAGCACGGACCCGACGGGCAATTTTGATGAACTGGAAGGTGATTCAGTTTCCTCTATCTGGTACAATGCATGTTGTCGTTTTTTGTTTTGTAATTTGTGACAAATATCAGTTTCTGTTTTGCTGTACACTAATGTTACAAAGGGTACATAGGTAGCTTGTACTCATCATCATACAACTAAAGATTTGGGGGGGAGGACTAGAAATAAGAATTGTAGACCTGTGCACAATTTTAATTTGGGGCAGCAAAACTTGAACTCGGGACTTTGTTTACTGTAATTCTGCAATGAACCACCTTTCTTGAAGATAAGATTTAAATAATATACACGTGGCCCCTCTATAACCGCTTAAACTTTTATATAAGTGGTTCAACATGGTATCAAAGCAAGTAAAGGTCACGGTTCAAGTCTCGCCGCTACCTATAAATTGTGCAGTTGTCATGCTTTGGTGAAGAGGAAAAAAAAGAAGAATCCGGCTTACACGTGAAGGGGCGAGATAAAAGTTAATTGTTATATACCTGGCCTCTCTAACAACTTAAGCTTTTGGATCAAGTGGTTCAACAACTTTATTTAAAATATTAAGCTATTAGAATAGGGATACATGCATATATTTAACTTTAGTCGTCAACAAAAGTAATTTTTTTTACATTGCAATCTCAAGAGCACAATTACTTCTATTCTATGAACATATAAACCAACCTAAGCTTTAGACGTTGACCGAAAAATGTACATTTATTTGAGCTCTCAAAGTGACTTATTATGTTGGAAATTTAACAAAGAAAAATAAATTGCTAAATTCTTCCTTTCATTCGTTAGTGAAACCTTAAAAGTCTTACATGCTAAATATTCTTTCGTGAATCTTTGTGTTCCAAGAGAACATTTTAAAAGTGTGTAGAACGAGTACTAGTGTTTTAATTCGTCAATTGAAGCTTGAATGCTTTACTTAGTGCGAGGTATGAGCAAGAAGATATTGGTGGTAAAAAAATGTTTCTACTTCCTTTTTTGTAAACTTATTATTGGATGGTATTAAGCCACACACGTGGCTAGCTAGCCTTTCTGCATGAATTTTTTCCCTTTTTAAGAATGATTATTCCCCCTTCTTATTGTTGATAAACTGTTTTGTTTATTCAATGTGGTCTATGACTTGTTATTGAGCTTAAGATGCTAAGTAATGTACTTTATCAATTCAGTGGAGTTGCATAGAATCTCTGTTAACAATGCCAAACTTTGCACTTCGGGAAGGAGTTCATGTGAAGGGTGGTAGATTTTACTTCTCAGACACGATTATCAGATGGATTTTTGGTGATCTTGTTGAAAGGTAAGATGTTGAAGAATTAAGTTGTCTCCCAGTATATCGTTTGTCAAATTTAGTTGTCTGTATGAGTTGGACAATTTAGAGATCAATTGGCAAATGTTTTGTCCTTACTTTTCCTGTTAATTCTTCTATACGATCTAGGACAAATAACTTTAACGTGTCATAACAAGAATCAAAATATAAAAATAATATTACTCATAATGGGTTATAGCTCTTTTCACCAGAGAAAATGTTCATTAAAACTTGTATTGGTTCTCAATGTCCCACCTGTCTACATTTGACTAGATCTTGATGTATAAATTAAATGATGAACCAGTGCACAGTGTATGTTTTATATCCTCACTGCCTGAATGAATTTACAGTCTTGAAAATGCTGGAGAAGTCTCTGTTTTGCCCATGCTGAGATCAGTCAGGTTAACCATGGAACTGTTTGCTTTAGGAAGAATGGGTTCGGTTGTTTCCTCCTGCGAAGGCATAAATACTCAGGTATCATCTAATGCCCACTTATCTTTTAAAGAAAATTGAATCTTAAACAAAAACAGGTTGTCGCAATTGGAAATGAAAAATAATACTGTGATTATAATCCAAATATCGTTCTGGAGCCAAGATTTTTCTGTGTGAAAAAAAAAGAAACACTTAGACAGAAATCTAGACAACTATCAACAACATATCTGCTGCAAAAACTGATTTCAATAAGATGAATTCTGTCTCAATTTATGCCAGCCATATGTAACGAATATCAGGTTCCTGTATAGTCAAGACTTCTCCCGAAGAGTTTAATTTTACCAATAGCTATTCCAAGGTTTTCTGTAATGTCCTTTTATGGTTACATAATCCCAAGATTACCCTTGACTAGACTAGTACATTATTAAAAAAATATATTTATTGATGTTTTGCTGGCTGCACCATCTTAGTTTGCTCCTATCACTTTTTTTTAAAAATATTTTTCTGAGCAAGACAGAGAATGGGTCATGCAGTCAAGACGTGGTTTCTTGCTATTATATCAAGTGGTAAAGACAGTTGCCTGTTTATATACCAATTATGGAGTTGTCTGAAAGGTTTAACGGATTGAAGCTGCGATATATGAATGTGAAATATTCTGATGGTAGAAAGTGTTGGAACAATATGGATTGCAACATACAATGAGATTTAGGTTGTTCCTTGGTCTCTAATTATTTTTATATGGAAGATATATCTTCTTTGACATTCTAATGTTAGAGGATTTCTCCTGATGGTTGTAAATATGCTTCTAGAAATAAGTTCATGTTTCTTACATAAACAAATGTTAGGTTTTGGAATTAATTTGCGTATAACAAAGGATACGGTATTGATACAAAGTGATGGAAGGATGATGAATATAAATGAGGATGAGATGGCAGTGGCTGACAGATAAGATAACAATGATACTGACTTTCTCGGTCATTCGTGATGAGGACTGGATTGTGAGCAAGAAAGTTGTGGATATAGCCTACTGTTATCCAATCGGAGAGAATTTAGCTGTAATCAACTTAAATCTGGAGAAGGTTGATGTGGAAGAGGTGGAGGTGGGTTTGCAGTGCTGAAGAAGATTTTGAAACATGACCATGAAAGGATACCTAATGTTGGAGAAATGTTTGGTACTTCTCTGAAATCGAAAGGAAGGAGAGCAAGACTCGTGTAAATTACTTTGGAAAATGTTTTTTTGGGAGGGTGGGGGGGGGGGGGGGGGTGGGACAAAGGCAGAGAAGTAATTTGGTATTACATTAAGCAAGAGAAATTACAAAGACAGACAGCAACTTCGATGCTTATGACTGATGGGCAACCTAGCAGGAAAATAAAGTGGATTTCTGGAAGAGGAAGGCATTGTCTCTTTGCACGTGTAGTTTGGTTAGTTTAGTAAAACAGACGAGCTGACTTGTCTAATTGGTTTTATGACATTTGTTTAAGCAGATGCTGATTTATTATATTGTTTGCAAGTTTAGAGAATGATAAGTCTGGTCTCTTTTCCTAGTTTGTTTTGCATCTCCCTGGTACCTTCAAATTAAGATTTCATATTTGTTAACAAGAACATCCAGGAATTTTATAGATTGTAAGGAAGAGTAATGTTCAACAAATAAACATTGTATATTAACAGGAATATAACACGGGTCAGAAATGCAATGAAGTTTAACTTCTTTATTTTCTAATTAAGTGTATAATTTTGACCTTTCTAGCAGGATTGTTCCTAGCTATTGACAAATTCCATTTTGTGTTTTAGATGATGTGGCAGTTAGTACATTCTTCTTGGATATTGCACGTAAGCTGCAAAAAACGGAGGGTTGCTCCAATTGCTGCTCTTCTATCTTCTGTCTTGCACTATTCGGTGTTTGGTGATGAGGGTATGCATGAAACAGACAATGCACCTGGGCCATTAAGATGGGTTTGTTCTCACTCACTTCCCTCGCTCTTCCTTTCCTCTCACACCTCCCTTTTATTTGTTTCTGCGTATGCATCTATATTCCTATATGTATATGTTCACTAGAGATACTTGTAATGTTATCTACGTACTTACTGACATGCTTTTTGCATTCTATTGTGTATTTCTGCAGTTCGTGGAGAAAATTCTTGAGGAAGGCACAAAAAGTCCTCGCACTATTCGCCTTGCTGCATTGCATTTAACTGGGCTTTGGCTTGCTAATCCTATTACAATAAAATTCTATATGAAAGAGCTGAAGTTACTAACACTATATGGTTCTGGTACGTTCTGTATTTGCTTAGTATTTTGTGATCAGTGATCTGATTGGATGCCGTCAGTTACTGCTACCATGATTAGATTATTGCTGAGGCAGCGTTTTGGTTTTTCCTTCTCTCAAGGCTTTTACTATGTTAACCGTAGAACGATTTTGTTTCTTGGATTTTGGAATAAATGTACAATTACAAGTTTATGCTAAGTATACCATTTTACTGAATTCTTTTTCTGGTCTTCCATTAGTTGCTTTTGACGAGGATTTTGAAGCTGAAGTAGCTGAAAATCATGATGCAAAGAATGAGGTATCACTGTTGTCGAAAAGCCTTGACCCTGAATTAACTGAAGTAAGTTATGATAATTGATTACAAAAGGTTCCATACTATTTATTCTAGTCAGTTGATGTATTCTATATATTAGAGATGAAAGGAAATGACCATCTATAATCTATCTTTCAGTTTGTGCCTTTATAGTGTTGTCTAGTGCCACATCACGCAAACCCACCACAAAACAAATATCATTTTCCTTTAGCCCTTTACATACATACATACATACATAGCCTTTAGATTTATCATGCTGGATAAATTTCTCACTCCACTTGATTGAAAAGACTTGCCAACATATATATATATATATATATATATATATATTTTTTTTTTTTTTTTTTTATTTTTATTTTTTTTTTTTTATT